AGGTTTTTATGTTATGAATGTTGTAACAGTAGGGCAACTATTCTTGCATTAACCAATCAATATTCGACTGACTCCAAGATGGATTTTAAAAAATTACCTGTTTAATCATTTCGGCTTGTGCTTCTGGAACTTCATGTGGAAAGAGTAAAATAAATAAATTTTACCATAGGGCTAATACCAAGTTCATTTGTATTTTATCGCATGAAGTAACGAACAGACAAGACGAATATAGAGAAACAATAAGAGAAGAAAAACAAATAAAAATGATCTCAAAAACCAAAAGCAAATAAAACGTTAAGATAAGAGAAAGAATAAAAAAAGAATGTGCGTATATGAAAATGTTTAATTAATTTTATATATTATATGATAGCTAAATATATTAATTAAAAAAATTTTCATCTTGACAGATGATTGTTCACACGTTAATTTATTTATAACGATGAGTAAAAGATAATTTTTTTTCATAGAAGCGTGACAAGTCGTGAATCTGAGATGGTTTACAAAAAAAAAATTCAATAAATTTAAAGTTTCCACAATCATAGAGATTGTTAAGCGATACACAAATTCACACACAAATCACAACATAATTGATAGCGACAGTATCCATATATTGTCTTGATTTCGTACAGTCTAAAAACATTGAAATTTGCTTTTAAATAACGATAAATTAGTACACATTCACAGTTCTTTTTTTTTCCCTCTAGTTTATTCTACTCGGACATGAAACAACATCACAAACACAACATACTCCACTTCCGTCTACAACAATGTCTCACTACTACTTGCTAGCGCTTCGAATACAACAGCATCAACAACAAACCTTTTATCTTCATTATTTCTTCCATTAAACAATGCGAGTAATCATCTACAACGTCCACAGCAACAAATTTATAAAAATTCAGACGGCTCTATAGCATCGCCATTAAGTAAGTCACTGGAGAAAAAACTTATATTGCATGAACTGAACGTTATTAGTTTCATTAGTTAATAGTAGACAGTTCATTCCACGTTCCTTTTCTGCTGTTCCATGAAAAAAATGACTTTACTAAAAGAAAAATATCGACAAGACAAGATTTGAACATCGCGGTTATCTTATGATAATAAATAATGTGACAATAATAGGCCAGTTGACTATGACACAAACAAAATATTACTGTAAAACACGAGAGAGCCTGTAATATTTTGTGAAAACTTCTTAGAACTTGTCCGTTGTCCAAAGAAAAAGGAAGTTTGAAGTATAAAGTTTATACACGAGGATTTTTATGGTTTGCAGATGATTTTTTGGCAGTAGCTGTAAACTTTCAGGGTGGACTTGTGATTTCAAATGTGATCAAATTTCAATATAAATTTGATGTTTACAGCTTCTGAATGAATCGGTAACAGACAGTATTATTGGTCGGATGTTGTTAGACACAAGTTTTAAAAATTATTCGGATATATTATTACATATTCTATGTGATAGCCCGCCAGTTCAATAGGAAATTTTCACATTTTTGCTTCGTAGAAGCAACGTAGACAAACTTTTTATTCAGGATCGGAGATAACAGATATAAAAGTGGACATCATAGTTTTCTATAAGTCGTCTGTTGTTATTATGTTCCATTTTCATGCATTTTTTAAGATTATGTAATAGGATTTTTATCTTTCCAGCCTATGAACAAGTTCCATTTGAAGAGGCTAGTGAATGGTGTCATATAACGTATTATGAAATGTCACATCGTGTCGGTGAACAATTTCGTGCTACACAACCACAAGTTATTATCGATGGCTTTACTGATCCATCAAATCCTGATCGTTTTTGTTTGGGAATATTAACAAATATTAATCGAACATATGAAATTAATAAAGCAAGAACATCTATCGGTATGCAGTTTTATCTGTTCTAAATACTTTCTCTATTTCATTTTTATTTTTAATCATTTTTCAGGTCGTGGTATTCGATTATATCATATTCGAGGTGATGTCATTTAATTTCTTAAGCCAAACTATCAAGAGGATTTCATCACTATTTACAACCAATAATATTGTTCTTTTTACACCACTTCTTTGCACACGTTCGTGCATGTCCGGTAATTCCTTGTGGTTTGAAGACTCTGTTGCAATTCGGACACGTGTACAGGCCGTTCATATTTTTAACTAGAACTTCAGTGACTTTCTTGGGTGGATTTCCTTGACTGATTTGTGTTTGTATAGCTCTTCGTTCATCCGCTTTATCCTTGTAGTTCTTCACAAGCTGTTTCAGTTGCGGATGAACAGGTTTAGATTGAACTTGTGCATTGATCGGATCTCTCCACAAGTCTCTGTTGAGTGTGTCGCGCCTCCAGTTCTTAATACCAAACTTCTCAAGATCTTCCATGATCTTCTTTTCCCATCGTTTTCGTGTACCAGCATTTGGTGATCGTTTGGCATTGGGGAAATACGAAAACATGACTTTCTTGAGCAGACTAGGCTCATTTTGCACGTTGACCATTCTATTTACATGTCCAAACCACGATTTCGTCGTAGAAGTAGGTCGATCGATGGTTGTCCTGAGAGATCCGACGGGATGAGAGCCACTTTATCGTTGAGATTCAAACGATTTGTTTACGATGTCAACTAACCTACAGAATGTGAGCGATAACACACACTCTGTGGCATTGCTAAAGATTTGCAGTATCCTCTCGTCTAGTACTCGAAAAAAAGGGAAAAATTCGTTAAAAAAAATAGACCAATTAAAATCATTTATATCAGTAGAAAATCCGGTTGTTATTGCCATAGTAGAATCATGGCCAGATAAATCAATAAAAGACGAAGACATAAATATTTTGAATTATACTAGTCATCGATTAGACAGAGACAAAAAAGCAGGCGGTTGTTTACTGTATACACGTAATGATATTCTCTCTACTCGTCTGTCTTCCCTCGATAAGGTAATTTTTGCTTGTTCACCTTTACTCATTTGAGCAACACCTTGATCCCAACCTAATGAAGAAAAAACAAATAAAAGTTAAAACATAGCTGATATTTTTTTTTCACTTTTTTTCTCCTTCTATTT